GGCAGGCAATGGTCTGGCCTCAATGCTGCGAGGCCAGGCCAGACCCTGGACCGTCCAGATGGACGGTTCARCCTCAATCGGCGGGCGGCAGCTTCAAGAGCGCCGCCAGGCCCAAACGAAGTGTCGTTTGGGCCTACCCGATGGGTGCTGGTCCAAAATCAGGCCTTTAGGGCCTGTAACCCCAAAAGGTCGGGCCTTTAGGCCCTGGTGTGTCCCTCCGGCCCTAAGTCGGGTCCGGTAGGACCCGTGTGAGTCGAAGATGTAACATACCCGAAGACCACCATCAGCATCGCCTGGCACCACACGCGCAGCCCAGCTATGGCCGCCGTGCGCCCACTGCCACCGCAGCGCCCTCTCACCTCTTAGCGCCCGCGTGCACCCTGGCCAGCAGCGCTAGCGCAGCTGCTCTTGCTAGGACGAAGCAGCGTGGCCGTATCGCCTGCACAGGCCAGAACGCCGTGCCCAGGGGTGCACACTTTCCTTTATGGAAAGTTTGCCCATTGCTGGCTGGTCTGGCCAGGCGTGTAGGGGCCCACTAGCTTCAGGCTAGCCCCGAGTGTCAGCGCCCAGGCCCAGTTTCAGATACTGGCCTGGGCCTCATGCAGTTAGGCACCTCCAGGCAGCCTCCCAGGCTCCAAGTGTTTGCCACTATCTCATTGGCCCATGGTAGATGTGTGACGACAACGCTGCATTCTCATTGGTCAGCAGCCTTTCCATGATAAGTTGGCCTCTGAGTGTGTGTGCCCAGGGCGCAACGGCCTGAGCCCTGGGCTCAACTGCTCGACGCAGCTACAACTTCTGGAAGGAGCCATGAAAGGCTCACGTTGCTTTGTAACCAACTGGCGTGCTGCAACTGTCTGCTACCCTGCATACGAAAAATGTCCGAAATTGGCCTCACGTGGATATTCAGGCCTGTCTTCACTTAGGTCGGGCACGAGGTTTGCTGGGGGCCGCAGCCCAGAACACTTGCATGTCTGATAAGGGCCCCGTGAGGGCTCAATCCTCACATAGAGGTAAAACTGTTACATCGTTGGATTGTCTCGAAGTGTTTTTGCTGTCTGCAATAGGGCTAAAGCTGCTTCGATTTTGGATGTACTCATCTGGGTGGAATAGGGGTTGTTGTGGTGAAAATTCAAAACACACAATGTTGTTCTTTGTCCTGGGCAAGGATAGCTGTGGCATACTGCATAGCCAAACGGGCCCTGCAGGGCCCGTCCCGGACATTCAGCCTAAAAGCCTAAAACTTAGGGCTTACAGGCCCCGGTCGTTTCAGCCTGAAAGCTGAAAAACGAGGGCCTGCAGGCCCTACTCCGTTTCAGCCTATTTCTGGGTCTTTCAGACCCAGAGTTTTTCCAGCCTGAAACGGAGGGCCATTTTCAGGCCCTCATTGTTTCGACCTGCCCCTGAGACTCAGGCATGTAAACAGGGATGCGGAACAGGCCAGAAATAGCCTGTTCCTCACGAGCTCGAGCAGGAGCTGCAGCTGCAGCCCCTGCCTCCTTTCGGCATTGGCAAGAGCAGCCTCCTGAACTGCTCGCACGGCTCAGGAGGCACACCCGGTAGTACATAGGAAGTTCCCATGCACTTCACGGGTAGGTAGTTGTCAGTAGGCACGAGTAGTCTTCAGGATTCGGCCGCAGCACTCAGGAGGAGCGCTGCAGTAGTCTCCAGCGCTAAGTAGTAGTATTAGCGCTAGCTGTAGTCTTCGGCGCTGGGCGCCCATAGCTAGAGTAGTCTTCAGCGCTGGGCGCTGGTAGGTGGTAGATAGTAGAGTTGGGAGAGACACTGGCGGAGGCCAGTGGTACTTACCTGTGGCGCCATCGCTCCAGCTCCATCTTCGTGGTACCTGCATCAAGGCGCCAACTTCACAGGTTAGTACTGGACACAGAGAGAGAGAGAGTTCTTCTTCTTCCTCTGCTAAGTCCACCATCTCTTCTCACCCTCTCGCCACCTGACGTCTCAGACTACGACAGAGAGAGAAAGAGTTGTGACTTGAGACTTGACGACATTGGATCCAGACTGGACATTGGGATTCAGACATTTCGACGAGGGACTATTTGGGCCTGTACCGAGACTTGGTGTTGACGACATTCCCATCTTCCCTCCTCTTTCGTCTAACCCCTCCTTCTTCGTCTGTGTATGGTTGGGGCTGGCGCAGTCTTCTTGTGTGAAGCGCCAGACCTCCTTCACACCAGGTAACGATGATGATGATGTGTGTTCAGGGCTGCATTGCAATATGGATTGTTCGGATCATTCGTATCTAAGTCTTCCGCTGTGTTATCTTGTACTTTGTATTGAAAGGTCGGTTCTTGTTCTGGTCTGCACGTTACGGTATGCAACAATAGCTCTCTCTGCTTTTTGCTCAGCCATCGCCTCTGGTTCAACCAGAGACAAGAGAGATTCAGTGCCGGAACAAGCTTATGGAGGTCCAATGCACGATTAGATTCGTCCCAAAAGAATATGCAGCAATCAGTGCGAAGGTCGGCCTATGCCCACTCATCTCTCTGCGTGTGCGAGTGTATGTGCAGCAATGGAGCGAAGCCGGAGGCAAGACAGAGGCTGATACAGATCACCGGTGAGAAGGAATTTGAAAAGCCAGTGGACTATTATGGATACCCCCAGGAAGGAACGGTATGGATGACCACGACTGTGTGGAAAAGAATTGAAGATTGGTGACGAACTGAGGACAAGCCATCACCACAGAAGCTGCCATACTCCTCCTAATCCTAGACAGTCTCAATCAACCCATGATTGTCATGAGGATAATGATGGTAATGAATCTGCTGATGCATCGAGATCCAAATGCTCACATCGGGCAGACTGAAAAGAAGCTCACCATTGCAGTCCCTGTGGAAGTAGCAACAGAATTTGAGCCGTCAGATTCAGGCCCTTTGTCAGATCTACAGCCAATGCCACAATCGTCAATAATGAAGGCAGCAACTGCGGCGTTCCCCAACAAAATCGGTAATCACCATCGTCTGTCCCTCAGGACTTCCGTCTCCTCCTCCTCCCCCTCCTCCCCCTCCAGCAGTCAGCTCCATCAGCACCAGCTGGTCCCTGGTTTGTAGGCAATCCCGTTGTTCTCTCCTCCCCATTTCTACGGCATGCAAAGTACTGAACCTGGTCGCTTTGGGAACAGGTACACAATTAGCTCGTCAGCATTCTGAGGAGTGTCAATTGCAGACAGGATCCATAGTTCCTGCGCAGATGACTTTGGGAATGGAATCAGCAAGGTCATTTGGAATGGGAATGGGAATGGGAATGGGAGCTGGGACACAAACAGGGCTTTGTTCTGAATTCAATGGCGCTCCACAAACAGCTCCTGATCCGTTGGCAATGACGGAGGTAATATCAAATTCCGGATTGAGAGAAGTTCAAATTCCAGTGCATCCTTCCTGGTTTACTGAGGTTGCAGAGCCTTGTTCATCTGGAGCAGGAGGAGGAATGGAATTGCTTCGCACTAGATTTGATGCGGTTCAAAGACAAGTGAAGAGACAGGCTGAAGATCTGCAAAATCTGATCCAGAGCCTCCAGATACTGGACCAGGACCAGACTGAGTTCAAATCCCAGGCAACATCTGCCCCTTTGCACTCTGGAAATCCTTCTCCTTCTTGCCCTTCTCCTGCCTTAGCTTATGCTGCATCGAAGTTGATGGGGCGGATCCGAAAGGGGAGGAGGGGCACATCGTCATCGTCTGATGGTGAAGTGAAGCATCTGTCCCTCAAGGTGGCTGGTGACTATGAGTTAGCGCTGACTGAGACAATCAAAACTCCAATTCAATTTTGTGTCCCACTTCAGGAGGAAGAGGAAGAAAAAGAACAAGAACGAGAAAAAACATCCACATGGACATCGTTGACAGAAGAAGAAGAAGAAGAAGAAGAAGAAGAAGAAGAAGAAGAAGGGATGGTCTTGGATAAGTGCCCGGAGCATAAAACTGCTGTGAGAAAGTTGATGGAGGAGGACGAGCAAGCAAAGGATGATGACCAGGAAATGCGGGACAAGGTGAAATCATCCAAGCGTTCTTGCCCTCGTGAGAAGGAGGTGGGAGAGATCAAGAATGGGAGGAGGGGGCTGTCGTCCTCGTTTGATGGTGAGGTCAATCAGCTGCCCCTTAAGGTGGTTGGCCGCAATGAGTTAGCGCCGACCAAGACAGTGAAAACACCAGTTCAATTTTGTATCACCCTTCAAGAAGAAGAGGAAGAAAAAGAACAAGAAAAAGGAAAGCCAACCACATGGACAGCACAGACAGAAGAAAAGCCAGAAGAAGAAGAAGAAGAAGAAGAAGAAGAAGAGGAAGAAGGGATGGTGTTAGATAACTCTGTCTTCAAGTGCCTGCAAGGTAGAGCTGCTGTGAGAGAGTCGATGGAGGAGGACGATGAGGGGAACGACGATGACACGGAAATTATGCTGGACAAGGTGAAATCCTGCAAGCCTTCTTTCCTTGGCGAGGAGGAGAATAACAGTTGCCTGCCGCAGGTGCAGATGTTGTCGGAGGAAGAAATCAATGGGTCAGAAGAGGTTGAAGCACCAGTGCATGCACATTGGAATTCTGAATGCCATTGGAACACAGACCGAGGAAGCATAGAGAATGGCAACACCCAGCTCTACGTGCATATGCAGGTACTAGATGTCAGGGATGATGATGATGATGATGATGATGATGATGATGATGATACCGACAAAGAACAGCGTGATCCCTCATCGTTGGCATCGGGTTTCGCGTTCTGCCATTCGCCTCACACTCTTGGAGACTCCAAGTTAGAGCGCCGGTCAAACAATTCTCCTATCCAGGGGGGTCATGTCCACACAGACGATGCTAAAGACCCTACAGCATGGCCTATGACTAGATTCAGTCCTAACTGCTCTGCGCCAGATAGCTCTAATACTGAGTCTCTTCAAACCGTGCCTATAGGAGTCGAGTGCATCCTGAAATTGCTGACTGTTGATCGAGAAATAATGGACAGGCAACTCAAAGAAGCGCAGTGGGAACTCGGCAGTGGTAGTTTGGATCGGTTCCAAGCATCCCAGGCACCTCCTTGGTACGGGTCCAGTCTCTCAGGCCACGTCCACTGGCAGGTGCCAAACACTGCCGATACCCGACTGTCCACACAAGATGAACATCAGAGACTTCAGAGAAACGCCCATGGTCCATGTTCAGGTCCAGGTGCAGACCCTGTCGTCAGTACTTTGAAGCAGATACACATGTCAGAGAAATGCCCATGGTCCAGGTCCAGGTCCAGGCTCAGAGTCTCTGGCCAGGTTCTGCAGGGTGTAGATCTGCAACCGCATACCTTGGCGGTCAAAGCGTCCATGTCCATGCCAAGCGATTTTGCTCTCTCTTTTTCTTCTTCGAGAACATATCTGCCTCATGTCAAAGAGACATGGATTGATGTGGCAAATGATGAGAACACTGGGAAGTACATTGTCTGGAGTGAGAAGAACAACGCTGTCGACAACAGGCCCAGCTTCAGTCTTGAGAGGCCATCACCATCAGCTTTTTCGTGTATGTCACGGGATTTTGAAACCATGACAGGAGGAGACAATGTCATTCAAGTTCGGCAACCACGGTATTGTCATCATCATCCTGGGGGCCAGAAATCATCGAACTGTGATCATAGTCCTTCTTCAGCAGTTGAGTGTGTTCTTAAGCTGCTGATTGCCGAGAGGGAGATAAGGCAGAGACAGCTCAAAGAGATGGAGTGGTGCTGATCATGCTAGGAACTGCCATTGTTCTGAACCGTTTTGTCTATAATGGAAAAGACCGCTGGAGAGGCAACGTGAGAATGACGCCTTGGATGGGCAACTGCCAGCATGATCCTCTTTGCCCCCTCTCCAATAGCGCTGTATGACAGCCACCGTTTCAATTTTATACCCCTTCTTCAGGCTTCTTGTATATTGTATGCACGTATGTATCCACATATGTATGTATGTATGTATGTATGTATGTATGTATGTATGTATGTATGTATGTATGTATGTACGTATGCATGGATGCATGCATGCATGCATGCATTGTATCCACGTGTTGCAAATTGTCACCGGAACAGCCCCTTTTCTACCCAGATGAGTAGATCCAGAGTTGAAGCAGCTTTACCTCAATTGCAGACAATCAAGCACTGTACAGATGAGCCAATCCAACAATGAAACAGTTTTACCTTTATAGCAAAACACATGAAGCAGAATAGATCCGTTATATCCCTTTCTTCGCTATCTTTACTTTGGCTTCCGTTGGGTTAACCCTTTCGTTTGTTCTTGCAGCTCCCCTTTTACTTTGCCGCCAACGTACAAGGCTTGCCACGTCGATTGTGGTTGAGTGCAAGCTGCCCATGTTCATGTGTGCCATAATGGCCCACTTGCATGGAGGCAGAGTAAAGGGGAAGGTATACTCCCGCTCGTTTTTTGTCAGGCCTTCAGTTTATATTGTGTCTGTTCTCTCAATGATGCTCATTCGGAAGCCTTTACTAATAGTACACAAGAGAAGGGAAGAAGGGGTAGGGGGTGGAGTTCTACAGGAAGAGAGGGCGGGGAAGGGGAGAAGGGGAAGAGGAGGGAAATGGAGGGACAAGGAATAGAGCAGAGGAAAGACAAACTTTATAGGGTTCTCAATAATCACCGCTGGAGCAGACTACTCTAGAATAGCACAAGAGGAAAGTCAGTGACTGAGTTGCAGGGAAATTTTGAGTTGAGGAGCAGCCAATGCCTATGGGAAATAGCCACCCCTTCAGACCAGACAGGACTGGTTCGGGTGTAGACTATGGAAGCACCGCATCCAATTCTCTCAGTTGCAATTGCTGCATCAAATGGCATGTCATAGACAAGATATCCCACGCTGCCACAGTTGTGTAGGCATTGCCATTCCAGTCCTTGTTTACAGATAGGACATGCCCGTGTCAGGATGTTGTACATGAGTACAATGTTGACTGTCATCATCCGTATGAAAACAAGAACTTGCGTGTGCTATACCTTCATAATCCTCATGACACGAAGTATGTTTATCACGTGCTAGCCAAATGTCAGGCGGGCCATCACAGAGCGGCATTGGCAAGTTTGTTGGGTTTCCGCAACCAATATTCCCTCACTATGGGCGGGCGATGATGGGCCTGATCCAAATTAGTAAGGGTGTTTAGCAGCTGCAAGATGTGGTCTGCAACAGCTCACCCTGGCGGCGATGATCTTTCAGTACACTTCAATGTAGGTGGTTCATGAGAGAGTCTATTTTCCAACTCAGGCTGTTGTGTCTGTTGTTCGCCTGGGAAGGATGGAGGAGATCCGACTACAGTTGCAGGACGTGTATGCCCATCGCTAATTGTCGGACATGCTAGGAGAAGATGTGGCGCGGATAGTTCATGCAGTGGAGACACATGCTTTCAAGGACAGCTTCCTACGAACATTCACATGGCATGTTGCTGACATGTCAGCAGGAAATTACTGCATATCGGGCAAGCAACAAAGGCGGGGGGGGGGGGGGGGGGGGGGGGGGGGGGGGGGGGGGGGGGATGGGATGAGGGGGATAAGTGCAAGACAACGGGGCACACTTTTCACGGCAGAGGCATGTTCGGAGCAGAGATTATGTTGTGTATGCTGACCGAACTGTAGCTTTGTGAAGTCACAATGGTATGGCACAGCCACCGTCCTTTAGAGGCCCCCCCTCACTATCCATCGCAGAATTTGTCCGATCTTACACAGGGAAGTGACGCTGCCTGGCAATATTCAGGGGAACAGTCAGCCGGATTGTTCGCCAATGACTGTAGAGTTTGGTAGTGCACATGCACGTACTGTTCCTGATTGACCAGCCAGACCGAGTGTGCCCTGTTCCAGGTAAAGACACCGGGGATCAAATTTAGGTCACGGGAGGAGCAACTGCAGGATTCGTGGAAATCGAGAAACAACCTCTTCATCGACGCATGAGGAAAGAACTCCAGGGTGGGAAACTACCAGCCTTAGCGGGAGAAGAAGCCTACACTCACCTCCCCCCCTTCCACACTGACTGTTCTCAACCCTCATAACTCTCACTTCATTCATAAACCCCACACTGCTCTTAACTCTCACTCGGCGCACAACTCCCACTCCGTTCATAACTCGCACACTGCACACAACCCTCATAACTCCCATCCCGTTCGTTGCTTCCCGTTCCGCTCACAACTCCCAAACCGGTCATAACTCCCACTCCGCTCACAACTCCCACACGAGCACAAGAACACTTACACGGAAAAAGAGCAAAAAACAAGAAAAAAAGAATGATGCAACCACCAACCCTTTCCATCTAACTGGTCGTAGCACCCAGCCTTCATCCCGCCCTTCATCCATTAGTCTCTCGCCCATACTCCACCGCTCATAACTCCCATTCTGCTTATAAATCCCACTCCGCTCATCCCTCCCCCCCCCCCCCCCCCCCCCCCCCCCCCCCCCCCCCCCCACCCCTTCGGCTGTTTTCTAATTCCATATGCAAATCTGGAGGTAGAAAAAAGCGGGGAGCCTCTCAAGTAACAGGATGCAGGGCCCTGGTAATCACCGCAGCACCGCATCCTTCAAACAAACATTGCAAAACTCATCAGCGGCGATGCGGAGCTGTCAAACAACCAAAATGCCATCCAACGCTGAGTGTCTCGGCGCGAATTCAACACGGGGTCGGCGTTGAACGGTGGAGGGGGTGTCTGCTCTTATCAGCACCCCCCCCACACCTCGTCGTCGATGTTTAAAAAAAAACAAAAACGAAAGGAAAAAAAAAAGATAAAAAGAAAGATTCAATGTGCGTTGATGGAGATAAAACGCTGTTTCGACGGGTATGAACGCCACCCACGGATTGCTGCGGGGGCCATTGGGGGTTGTGCAGGGGGCAGTTGTGCACCCCTCCATAAGCTTACTTTAAAAAAAAAAAAAAAAAAAAAGTCGACGGGGGCCATCCAGCGGCCTAGCTCAGGTGGTTAGGCACACAAGTGGCATTCAGGAGGTTGTGGGTTCGAGCTCGATACCCGCCTGCGGCGCACTTAGTGCCAACCAGCTGTGATAGTCCGTTCGATACCTCTGATCGGTATCAGTAGGGTCTTTGGCCAGCACCGGTGTGAGTGTGAGTGTGAGTGTGAGTGGGTTGTATGTGGTGTGTGGGAGAGTGGTGGCCTCAGACACTACTGCTGTTCGATTGCTCGGTCTTTGCGTTAGCCAGACCCCCACTGGTGGCCCCACCCCATCTCTGAATTCCACTGTTGGGGCGGGGGGCAACATGCAATCCCCTCATTGTGAGGTAGCTATGCGTGCAAGGGTCCCATCTATATAGCGGCTATTAGCCTTAGGAGTAGTGGTAGGTAGGTAGTGAAAGGCAAAAAGAATTTGAGAGAAGAATATAGTCTAGATTTATTATTTAAAAAAATAAAAAAAGAACCTCGTTCGGGGGCTGCATGTCCACACAGCCCGCACCCCAGGCACCCCGTCCATTGGTGCCAACGGCCTTAAATTCGGCCGTTCGCCGTTTCTCCAGCTTACTTTTGACGCGGGCTGTCGAAGTGCTGGTGAGAGAGAGAGAGAGAGAGAGAGAGAGAGAGAGAGAGAGAGAGTGTCGCATTGGGCTCTGCCATGCAGCTTGAGCCTGGTGCGACCCCTCTCCGACGCTCACCGCGTGGTTTCATCATTGCCACGTGTCACGTGCGAGGCAACGACGCAGTTGGGGTTGGGTGCGGGGGCGGCTGG